TACTCTGCTTGATCGACAACGAGGGCCTAATAACACACGGACGCGACGTACGAGTGCCACTGGATCCACATTTCGGCCGCCACAGCTGCACGTTGCCACAACGGATGTCGTGCCAGTACACCGTCCTGCCGCCTATGCGGCGCTGCTGGCTGCTGCCGATCGCGCGACCATGCAGGCACCGCGGCTTCTGCCATTCACCATGCACTCGACAGGTATGCTCCCGGCCCGGCTTCCGCCCCCTTTCGGTCCTCGTCGTGACCGTACTAGTATCCGCCCCCATGTCACTCCATGTTGCCCGTATGATTGCACCTGCGCTATTCCGTCTGACCGTCTGACTGTCTAACCTCCCTTCCGGATTGCTGCTGCCGTGTGTCTGCAGTCCCCTGCACTAACACACGTTTCCAGCCGTTTGTGTATTGTATATATCCCGTTCCTTTCTAACATGTTGTCACCGCTGTCCACCCATGGCATGTCATGCGGTATGGGCTCTGCTTGGTCGACGACGAGGGCCCTAGTAACACACGGACGCGATGTACGAGCGCCGCAGCAGCACGTCGCCACGACGGATGTCGTGCCAGTACACCGTCCTGTCGCCTATGCGGCGGTGCTGGCTGCTGCCGATCGCGCGACCGTGCAGGCACCACGGCTTCTGCTATTCACCATGCACTCGACAGGTATGTTCCCGGTCCAACCTCCGCCCCCTCTCGGTCCTCCTTCGCCCACGTTATCGTGGCCGTACTAGTACCCGCCCCCCTATCACTCCGTGTTGACCGTATGACTGCACCCACGCTCTTCCGTCTGACCGTCTGACTGTCTGTCATCCCTCCCGGATTGCCGCTGCCGTGTGTCTGCAGTCCCCTTCGCTAACACATCCGGAACCATGGATCTTACCGTTCGTCCGTCCCTTCGAAATGCATCTTGCCTGCAGCGGCTCTACTGTGTATGGCAGGTGCGTATGTGTTTACATGGGCCTAGCGGATACACTCTGTTTGGTCTAGACGGAAGGCCCGATTCGCACGCGCAAAGGCCTGCCGCCGCCATGATGACAATGATGCCCGCACCAACACGTGGTATTATTATGGTATGCTACCTACGCATGCAAAACTCCCTCCCTGCCCCCCCCCCCCGACGCCACACACACTCACACGGGCACGCACACCTGCGGCTGTCTACTATGCGGTCCTTCTGCATCCAAGTCGTACCGAGTCAGTAACCCGGTAAGACTCGGGTCCACACCGTCCGGGTCCGCACCTTACCGGGTTACTGACCCCGTGTGACTTTCATCCAGAACGACTGGACAGCAGGTCGGTGTGGTGTAGCCCGGTGTGGTGTATATGTGATGCACTGTATCAGTCCCGTACCATAATAACGCCACTGCCTCGGCGGATGCCGCAAACGTTCATGCTCCGTACACTTTTGAATGCACCGTCATTTCTGCCCTTATATACACCGACACATTACCTCGAAACTGTACCACCGGCACAGGCTGTACAGTCCCCGACGCAGCTGGAGACTGTATTTAATATTAAAACTGTATAAACCATTTATAATTTAATGATGATAACACCACTGCCTCAGCGGACAGTGCACACGTTCGTGCTCCGTGCCCTCTTCAATGCACCATGCATGGCATACACCGGCGAGCCTACGTACACTTTGCAGTCGTACGTTACAATGCCTATGTGGTACACCAACAGCGGTGTCGTCGCATACCTAATTAACACTAACCGTTGAGCCGGTGGCGTTGTTATGATACGGTACCTGTGCATGCAAAACTCCCACTCCCCCCCTGCCCACCACCACACACGCATACCTGCGGGTGGCTGCTGTCCAGTCCTTCTGGATCCAAGTCGTACCGGGTCAGTAACCCGATAGAACTTGCGTCCGGAAGGCCTGCACAGCAGCCATTCGCAGGTGGGTGTGGTGGTGTGTGTGTGTGTGTGTGTGTGATGGGCTGCGTCGGTGCCGTACCAAAACAACGCCACTGCCTCAGCGGACAACACAAGTGCTCGTGCACCGTGCGCTTTTACCTGCGCTACCCTGCATACCTGTGCGGCGAATGTCAGCGTCTAAGCAGTCGTATGCAGCGTACGCCACATGGTCACTATCGTCTGCGAAGCTGGCACTGCCGAAGTACTCGTCATAGTTCGGTAACTGCTGCATGACAACGACGACTTCTTCGGCAGCGCCAGCTTCCCACACGATACTGATCCTGTGGCGTACGCTGCTTACAACATTGCCGCAGTCGACACCATCCACTGGCTGGTGTATTCACGCGTCATGACGACGACGATGCTCACAACCAACACATCAGCCACTGGACCACTGCGTATGCAACCCATGCCTTTGTAACATATCCTTCGATGTTCTTACCAATGTCCGCCCATCCGCATGTATGGCACATATTGTAATCACCTGCGCTTGCTCTATAGGCTATGGTTGGTGAAGAAGAACGGCCCGAGTGGGACGCGGACGGCAGTGTCGTCTTTCCTGAGGCCACGCAAACTCAGAATCTGTTTGACGATGTTGCTGTCCGAGTGCCGACTCGGGCCGTTCCTCTCCACCACCCATACCCTATCCAGCATACGAGCGCCGTTGGAAGCGACATCGCCTCTGCACACCAACTATTGCTTCCACGTTGCTTGGCCGTGTTGGTGTTCGGTGTGTTGGTCGTCAGCATCGTTGCCAGCGTCATGGCGGCGGTGGCGGCTGGACAGGATTGTCTGCTGTAGCAGTTCGCCTCCACGGCTCGCCTTCGGCTTGATATCTTCGTAGGCCATGAAGGCCGGAATATTACTGGCGTACGAAAATATCACATCGGTGTGATATCTTCGTATGTCATGCATTCCTCGGCATTCCTGGCCTACGAAGGTATCAAACCAAAAGCAAGCCGTGCGCCTAAACTGCTGCAGCGGACGATCCTGCCCAACCCCCACCGCCGCCATGACGTTGGCAGTTATGACCAACGCACCGAACACCAACACGGCCACGCAACGTGGCGGCAATATCTCCCGCACGCCTCTGCACATATTGCACGGCATACCTGCCCTACTGATAGACCTGCGTACTTGTGTGGCGAACGTCAGCGTCTAGGCAGTCGTATGCAGCGTACGCATCGTCTGTGAAGCTGTAACATATTCTTCCATGTTGTTACCAATGTTCGCCCATCCGCATGTATGCCACATATTCCATACATACGTTCCCGATCCAACCTGACTGGACCGGGCACGACCGTCCATACCATACCGTGCACGACCATGCCAGCACCACGACTTCTGCCATTCCCCATGCACGTTGCTTGGCCGTGCTGGTGTTCGCTGTGTTGGTCGTGATTGCCAACGTCATGGCGGCGGTGGGGGTTGGGCAGGATCGTCCGCTGCA